GGGGCGGGAGGTGAGGCGGGGAGGGGCGCACAGGCACCATCATGCATCCACCCGAGATCATTTATCAGGGATCTGAGTTCGGCAGCACGTTGTGGGTGATGAAGGCGCCCACGTGGAATTTGTGTCTGTCACTGGTTCTCTGAGTGTGACCTCCAGGGAGTCGGCCTGGGCTGGACAGACACATTTGAGAGTCAGTGACCCGGGGTGGGAAGCGATGGTGTAGCCGAGGATGGGGTTGCTTAGGAGAGGCTACAAAAAGAAGAGAGGGGCGTAGGCCCCACCTTGAGAAACGGGCCAGCCCGCAAAGGAGACGTTCCCCCTCCCCCACAAGAAGAGCAGAGACCAGAAGTCCGGGAGGAGGGTGCTTCGGAAGCGGAGAGAAGAGGTAAGTCAGGTAGGCAGGGCTGCTGCGGAGGTCGAGGGGGACAGGAACTGGTGTCTCTGGATGAGTATGAGTTAGAGCTGCCTGCTACGCGCCGCAGGGCAGGTGCTGCCTCCCTGCCGGGGGCGGATGAAGGGGAGAAGGTGCCCTGCGGGCTCTTCACCCATCCTGGGTTCTCCACTGAAACTGTCACTGCTGATCTGTGAACTCTCTAATGCTGGCCTTAACACAGCTCCACCTTTTATAAGCATTAAGTAGGTCTGAAATATGCATCACAGGGAAGAACCCCTTGCAGGATGAGTTGGTAAGCGGTGGGCCAGTCATTTTGCTGGATTCCAAGAAAAGCTAAGGGTGATGGGCTCAGCGCTCAGATTCCCAGATGAAGAATGAGGCTCAGAGGGGCCAAGTAATTTGCCTAAGGAGCACAGCTCAGGACTGGATGGGGGACCATCTGGAAGACCTCCCTGGGGGCTAAGCTTCATGCCCTGGGGGGACAGTTTTGACACTCGGATCACAGTTTAATGTCAGAAGTCAGCTTTCAGCAGGTGTCATCCTGCTCCTGGGTTTTACAGATGGAGAAGGGTCCTGAGCCACGAGGGTGCCACAGCTGGGTAGGAAGGGAACCCAGATTCCCACCAAACACAAAACTCCCTGCCAGGTACAGCTCAAGATACAGACCAGTAAACCATTCATTTCTGAAATCCCATCTGAACAGTCCAGGGCCAGAGTCAGAGCCCAATATCTGTACCGTGTTTAACTCCCCGAAGCCACTTCTTTCCTAACTAGAAAAAGAAAAAAGAACAACCCAAGCCAAGAGAACTGGCTGAGATGACACCAGCAGAGAGAGAACAGGAGCATCTTTGGTCCATCACACGATGAGACAGAGACAGCACCCACCCTCGTGGAGCCCCCTGCCCAAGACAGACAGCCTCTTCAGGCTTCTCCTTCCTGATGCAGGCACTGAAATCAGAGGATAATTTTAGACAAGGCAAACAGATTTCATCATCTTGTTCCTTCTACCTCGTGCTTTTTTTTTTTTCACAAAGTCAGTCACTGCTGAACACATGCTTCGCTCACCTCAGAAGCGCTGGCACCCCTCTGCCACAGACCCCCATCCCACTAAAGTCCCAGACTCTGCCCAGGCCCGGGCTGGTCATGGGCTTGTCGGAGTTCCACACTGATGCTGTAAGCAAGCATGCCCTTGGGATGGTTGTAAAACATTGATAGCTCGGAATATTTAATTGGAAGATGCTCTGGCTAAACTACAACGGTGTACACCAGAAACTGACACATTGTAACTGACTATACTTCAATTTAAAAACATTCTGAAGATGCTCATGTTAATTTTGCTGAGGACCTTTTTAATATCAGAGAAAACCAGCCTATTGCTTTGCATTTCCAGCACCTCTGATTTTCAGCCAGTGTCCTAAATTTAAGGAACTAAAAAAGTTACTTTTTTTTTTTCCTGATTCAACAGATATCAGACAAGACAGCAGTTGGCTCTGGCTTTTTGGTCCACTGCTCTCTTGAGCTTTTAGTTCAGGGAGGACCTCGGTGTTGCCTCGTCTTGATTTGCCCTGTCCTCATCCTTTGATTCACCTGCTGCTTGGCCCACAGCTGTTTTAGACTTTTGAGGTTTTGGCCAGGGACGACCACAAGCCCGCTCTTCCTCCCCTCGTCCCCTGTAACATAGCACCTGTAACAAAGCAACCGCTCTGCATCTTCTATCAATTGTTCTTTGAATTCGGCCAGCCCAGTGGAGTAGTGGGACTGTCAGCACCAGGATAAAGACTTCGTGCAGGAAACACTCTGTTTGGTGATCTTGCAAGAGTGGTCCTGCGTGAACAGATGCTCATGAAAGTGCCCAAGAAGCCAAGAGAAATGCTTCTCTTGCGTCCAAGCAAATAGTAGTAGCACTGTGGTTTGGGTGTTAGGTAGAAGCTCTTCTTAACTGCATGCCCATCATACCAGGCTTTTACCCTCAACCCTCCTAACAACCCCATGATGAGGACACGGAGGCTCTCGGGGGGCATGAACCCCTCCCCAGACACTCAGCTACTACGTGGCAGAAACTAGACCAAATTCCATTCCTCTGCCCCCGAGGCCTTGGTCCTTCCGATCAGTTAGTATCTTATGGTCCATCCTTTTGCACTGAACTAACTGGAAAGTTGGGGTCACACTGGGAACACTGTTAACCAGGCCCTCAAAAGGCATGTGGTCCTTGACCATGATCTTAACTGTATTTCAAACCATGGCCATAAAGTAATGATTACATTGGCAGACTGACCTTTGTTTTCTGTGAATCACGTTCTTTTACAGAAGTAGGAATTAAAATCCCAGCATGGCTTGAATGAAAGTCAAAAAAGGAGTACAATTTTTGGTTTGTTTTAAAGGCTACAAACATATTCCTGGTTTACTACTTACTTGAATATAGTATATTACCAAGGGTTTTTTCCCCCCACCTTAGATTAAAAAGCGCTATAGCAACTAGACTATTACTCGAAATACTGAAAAGCCTTGCACCTTCAGATCTGAGTCCTCTGAAGTTGAAGTGAAGGCATGACTGGCTGGTTAACATCAAAGAATAAGACTGTGAACTTAATAAGTAATAGTTGAAAAAAAAAACCCAAATCCTCAGACAGAGGCTGTTAGAATACATGGTAGTACTCCCCAGTATGCGGTCATGACCTGGTGTGACCTCCGAGATTCGTCAAGCATGTTGAGGACTCACCAGAGATGTGCGGGCCACAGCGTCCACCACGGCATCGAACACTTTCTGGGGCAGGCGCAGCAGTGTGGTGCCGCTGTCCACGATGGCCTTGTCCGCGTTATACTAGAACCAGGGAGAGGAGGTGGGGAGAAGGCATGTGAGGGACCTGGCACCCACCTCGACGCATGGCTCTAGCCTGCCATCCCAGGACATCGGTTATAGACAACCTTGGTGGTCACGGTCCCTCCTTGGTTCACTTCATATTCTCAGAACTTGGGGAGCCAAGGACTCTCCAGCCCAACATTCTCCCTTCACAGATAAAGAAACTGAGGCCAGGAGAGGGAAGTGATGGGACCAAAATCAACAGCCCTCCTAAGACAGAGCATTGCCCTTATTCAGAGGTGCCGATTCCTTGTCAGGGATCCCCCAAAGACAAAGTTTTATCTTTAGAGGCTGAAATGACACACTAAATGCCGTTTATACAAATCATGCAAAATCAACTCTCTATTCCCCTAATGGAGACACAGAAAGAGGAAGGGCAATTTTTCAATAGACTTCCCCAGATTTGCATTTAGAATGGGACCAAAGCCACGTTCAGGAGGAGAACCTCGCACACATGCAGGCATTGCCAGCCCTGTCCCCACCTCTGTCTTTCTTCATGTAGTTGAGTGAGATGAACAGAGGTCAGTGGGCCAGTCCCAGAGAAGCCACTCCAACCTCCTGGGACATAACCGTATGAACAAGGCTGCCCAGGAGTGGAATGGGTCATGGGCAACTCCATCCTCCTGCTTCCACGACAAACCCAGGAGTCGTGTGACCGAATACGCCAATCAGGCCAAAAGGAAATAAGGATTTGTTCAGGTAGCAGGTGGCAAGAGGGAAGAATTTTGAGAAATTGACATAGAGCAGTTGATTCGTATGCTTTTCAAATGTAAAGCTAACTGCAGTTAAAAACAAATTCAGTGTAGACATGATCTAGTTTGTTCACAAAATTATCGCGTTTGTATATGGAAGAGAAGCTAGCACGCCGAAACGCTGGGACGGGGCGTTCTGGGTTGTGTCGTCTGCTCTGCTGGGGTGTGGCTGGTGGACTGGCGGGCAGGAAAGAAACAAGAATATAGGATCAAACTTCCAAATACCTGCTTATATTCTCCAGCACACCCTCCCACACACACACACGTACACGTGGATTTTGTGCTTCATTTTAGGCTCTCAGATTTGATTCTACCACTGGGATTCTGGAATGGCAAATGCCTTTGGACAATAAACACAGATCTGTGGACTCTGAAACAGCACCACAGTGGAGTGCACCATCACTTTATCAACCTTTGTTGGTTTTTCAGAGGCATCGGTGTCTATGAGAATTTATGGTGCAATGGGATGGTTTAAATGAAAGGAAGTGATGGCCGCTAGGAATATAATGAATGCTGATGAAATGCCGGTGGTTTTATGAACCTTTCTGCAAATGTTGCAGAGGACCAAGGCTCCCTCAGATCATCACAGTCATGTCATTATGTACCACAGGTCAGCCCAAACCCAGCGGGGGTGCGAACAAGGTTAACGAGAGACGTGATTCACAGCTGTGCGTGTCCGCCTCCTTTTAGCCTCAGCAAGCGTCTTTAGAGTGTAACGTTTCTTCGAGTGAGAACTGTGTACTGGGGGGAAGGGGGCGTAGCTGTGAATGGAGGATAAAGTGACAATTTATTTCTGGTTTCATTTTGCTTGTTTTTAGTCCCCGTTTGTCCCCTCACACGGATAAAACCCCGCTCACGTCCTCCCCTAGGACAGAGTTCAGGTACCATCAGGCCAAGACGATGTAGTTCTAGACGGTTCTCTTCACTCACCATTTGATGCTAATTCTCCCCTATTAAGACAAGCAGTTGGAAGGAAACATTTTGGAAGGGGAGTCATTGATACGAAATTATCTATAAAAAGGCCCTATAGCTTTTAATGTCATGAATCTTTGATTTATCTTGTAATGTAATGTACCCTCTGATTTCAAATTCAGGTTTCAGCTGTAATATGTAAATGACCCAGGCACACACAGACAGTAGACAGAAAGAGATCACAGTGGAACTACCTCTCTGCAGTCCAGATTGAGGCTCTGGCCTCCGATTTCCAATTTCAGGATTTCTATCTGATAATACCACTCCTCCTTAATAGGGGTATACCAGATGTCTCCCTTGTACAAAGTTGGTTCAATTCCACCCAGGACCTGGGAAGAAAAATACTTACAGGTATGAGAGAAAAGACACACAGGCATATAGCAAGGTACACAGAGAGGCAAGGCTTCACTGGAATCACGTTATTGTGATACTGTAATCAAATACATATGCCTGAAAATTAAACAGGGAGCATTTTGGGGCCATGTATCCAAAAGTCAAAGAGTATTATGCCCCAGTCTAAGCAAGGTGCTGTGGTGGTTTCCCTCATCTAAGGGAAGTACACAGAATTCCAGCTTTATAATATTGAAGTCCCCACCCTACCCCCTCACCCCCAGCAAAGAAATGCAATAAGGTGGTTAACCACTTAGATCGACTAAAGTTTAATTCCTTAGAAGACAGAGGATGACTTCCTGCCCCACGCATTTGGCATGGGAGTAGAACAAAAGAGCTTCCTTAATCAAAACTTCATTTTGCAAAACTGTGTAACTGTATACTCCACAATCCTAGGCTACCTTCTCCCCTGAAAAAGTGATGAAAAAAAAAAGGTGTTAAGAGCAGGTGTATTGTTAGCAAATGGAAGCAGATGAGAGTGCTTCTCACAGTCGGAGAGCAAAGGGGTCAGCAGCACCCCGCCTGGGGGCCCTTCTTGTACATTCCACCCCCCATCACCTCCCCCTAGTGATGGGAGGGCACCCATCACCACCTCCTGGGTGCAGGGTCCATCAGGGGGACCTCGGGCTACAGCACGTCCACGGTGTTGACTCTCTTTCACTGTGTGTGTGTGTGTGTGTGTGTGTTGAAAGAGAGAGGATATGCAGGTGTCCCTGTCTCCCCACAAAATTTATGGCATTACAGGCATCCCCTTTACCTCCTCTCCCCAGAGCAGGGTCCTCCTGCCACAGCTCCCACTGTTCCGCGGTGCCCCTCCCGCACCCAACAGACAGTTATCTTTCAAAGGAACAATTGAGAAAAACATTTTAATGGAATTTGGAATCATCTTACTAGACAGCAGGATGATCAGGAAAGAGAAAAATAACACCTCATTTTATCCCTTTTATAAGGGCTCTATAACCAAGATTATCGATGTCTAATATGCCTATATGTCTAATATTTCTATCCGGGTCTGAATAAAGCAGAAAAAACTGCCCACTGATTTGTGATTTTCCCCCCTTTAAGACTAAAAGATACCCACAAGACTACCTCCGTTGGTACCAGATCCGGCTACCGGCAACCCGGCCCCGCACATCTGCATGGAGAAAACGTTGGGGATTTTTGCTTGTGCCACGAGGGAATCAAAGAACGTCTCCAGAGAACTTGACGGCTGCGGGAGGGTGAGAAAGGAGGACAGGGCTTCAGCGCAGCACTTGGAGGGATCTCACGCAGGCACCAGGCATGAAACACAACGTTGCATTTCTTCCTGTGTCGTATTTTTCACAGCTCAACAAGAAACAAGCTTACAATTAAAGGGCAGTAATTCAGGAACCTCCAGCAGAGCTACCTACTATTTGGTACTTTTTCCTTTAGGTTCAGCCCTGTTGTAAAAATGAGACAGTGTTTCCAGAAGCTACTGAGATGCTGCCCTGCTTACCCCACCGGACTGCCTCATGAGGCGGGCGGGAGAAGATGTGGAAGTGGGTTACCGAGGTAGGTGGTGGATTCTAATCTTAGACATTTCTGAGTAAGGAGAGAACAGTGTCTCCAGGAGCTGCCTTGGCAGCTTCAGAAACAGTTTGATTCACCCGTTTTCAGCCAAGGTTGTGCATCACGCCAATGACACATACCTGACCCTGAGGGCAGTTCACCCCCGATCCTGGACACTGGGCTGTGGCTCAGCTCAGCCAGCTGTCGACTGACCTCTGGGGATCAGTAAAGGAATGACGCTATTCTCCTGAAGGTTAAAGGCTTGATTCCCCACAGCCACGCTTCGGTAATTTGCTCAGTGCCTCCCTTACGTGAAGTGATGCCTTCAGAGAAGAGCCCTATTTCTCCAGGACTGAAAAGCAGGGAGGGTCTGTGAACAGTCTTAGTTGGCATTGGGCCACAGCTGCTGGTGGTCAGGAGGGAAGGTCACAGACTTACACCTAGACTTGGCTTTGACAGCAGGGAGCGATTAGAGTTGGTCACTGCGAGTGAAAACAGCTGAAACATCATAGATGCTCTAGGCACACTCTGACCACCTGCGGTTACCATAGGCATTCTTGATTTTCCAGAAGCACCACGCCTCTAATTCTGGAGAGAGGGGGGAGAGCCTTGTGACCAGACAGACAGAAATCTCTCCATCTGTTTAGTTCACTTGTATTTGGCCCCCTACCTGCTGCTTTCTCAGCTTCCGTGGGCTCCCTGGCAGAACCCGGCACCATCTCCACGTGTGATCTTTGTCTAAACACTTGGGGTTTGGGGCAAGGAGTGGGGCGAAGCCCCCTCTTGAAATGGGCTGGGTCTGGCAGGGACCGGGCCTATGTCCACCTTCTTGGGGGGCAGCCAAGTCGACACTGCCTGCAATTGCATCCTGGCTCCAGCGCCCACCACTAACCATGTGGTTTGTTCCTTTGTTTGCTTTTCTGTAAAACGGGGAGGACGAAGCAGCCCAGAGCTCCCCTGGGGCTTAAATGAGGCCGTGCACACAGAATGCTCGGGCGAGTGCGCGGCACACGGGACAGCTATCACTGTTACCCCTTTAAAGGTTTCAAAGCACACCAGCGGCCAGGACCCACCAAGAGAGCCCGACCCAGCTGGGATGCTCTGGGACCCAGGCAACGGTGACGTCAGAGACCTCACAGGTGGTTCTGACCCACATCCTTGGTGCAGAGCACCTGGGGCTGGTACCCTGGGATCAGCACTGGGTGCTCAGTCAGCTCACTTCAGAAGCGCCTGTGGGCCACCCACCCGGACCCCCCGCCAGCCCTGTTTCTGGACCTGCTCCACTTCCTACGAATCCTGTGCTTGTCTCCTCGCTCCTGGGAATGTGAAGCCAATTGTTGGAAATCTTGGAACTTCAGAGATAAAAAGGTAAAAGATGACATGGGGAGTCCAGACACCCAGAAGAACCCTGGAGCAGCCGATTCTCAAGGAAGCTTTACATGTTACTAATTCCAGATAATTTAGCTTTACACTAACCCCTTCCAAACAATCAGCATCAAATCAGTCGTGCTGCTTTCATTTTCAAAGTCACGTGAAGATGAAATGTTCTGCCCAAGGTCACACTGTCTGTTACAAATAGGAATGTAAGTTATTACAGGGCTCCAGAAGCCATCCGGGCTGCACAGACAGGGCTCTGTGCTCTGACCGCCCTCGGCGAGGGCTGCACCCCTCTGATGCTCAGCCCACCCAGCTCCAGGACAGGAATGACTTGGCCCTGCAAAGTCTGCCTTGTGGGGAAGTCCTGAGCCTCCAGTGAAGGTGCCCTGTGATGTTCTCAGCCTAGTGCCTCGTGAGAAGCCACAGCACTGGCAAACACACCCTGCCCCCTGCCTGTTGCCCCCACCCCTACTGCCTGCACCACTCGCTAGTAAACTTGAGCTGGAACAAATTCCTTATGGAGAGAAAACAGGCCTTTCTGCACCCACGATTCTGTTTCACGCTTAGCTCTGGCTCAAAGCCCAGCTCTGTACAAGGAGCTGTGGTGCCTGATGACAGGCCAGGAGAGGGGACCTCTCAAGTGCATACAGACCTACCCTGGTCTCCTGGAACTCGGGGGGCACACCCAGTGCCAATTCCGCTGCCTCTGACATCCCTTCCGGGTGGAAATCCTCCAGCCCGCCGCCCTCCTCCTGCACACCAACATGACTTCCTTTGGGTCGCCACGAACTGGAGAACGTTCAGTTCTGTCCTTCCCTGTTTTGTGAAGGTCCTGATGCTAATGAGCACAGGGGATCCACAGCCTCTTTGATGCATCGTTACTTAGAGTGCCCGGAGATCCCCCGGGTGCCTGCAACCTGCCTGTGCTCCGACTCTGGGGTGAGGGGAAGGCCGCGCGATGCTCCCCCTGCCTGGCGGGGACACCTCTGCCTGCTGTGGTTCCAGTGCCACCTGGAGGCTCCGTTTTTATTCGACCGTACAAATTTAATAAATGTGTTTTCTTTTACTGCTACACTAATAAAAACTCCTAAACAAACACTATAATCCAGGTGATTCAGAGTGTGTTAACATCTGTAAACTGTACAAGTAAAACAGAGACAAAAGACAAACAAGAAAAAGTCATGCCATGGGTGTACCTTGAAGGAAGTTTCAAAGAACCTTGCCCTTTACCTTAAATTGTAAAAATGCCTAGAGATATATATAATTCATCGTGTGAGCGCTGGTCTGTTTCAGCCATGCGACTTTCACTGACTCTCCCGCAGCCAGGCCCCATTGTCAGCCCTGCAACCACTGCTTTCAGAATCTTGCCCCATCGCTGGGTTTTCTCAGATCCGATTATTCTTACCTTGGCCAGGGTAGCGTAAGCCAGTCCCAGTATCCCATTCCATTTAATCCCAGGCAAGAAGAAGTTTTCTGACTCGAAGATTGTGGCAATGTTGACAAGAAAGGAACTATTGAAGCCTTTGGGGATGGTGACAACGTCCTCCCCGACGAAGCCAGTCCAGCTCCCTTGTGTGTACTTCACAGTGACGTCGAAGCCCTTGGGGCGGTAGGTGCTGGACCTGGAGAAAGAGAAGAGGCATCGTGACCTGCGTCCCGTCCACGTGTCCCTGTTCTGACAAGACGGCCGGTCACGGCTGCACAGGCAGCGGTCCGTAAGCGCAGAAGGTCCACGTAAGCAGTTCTTCATGATGATCGGGCCTGTGCTCTCCGGGTGGCATTTCCCAAGAAATAACTAACATTTGGGTAACGGCGTCTTCTGAGCTACGTGTGAGGGCGTCCTGGGGTTAACACGTGGCCCCCGAGTTTCAGTCTTTGCCGAGCCTTAGTTCAACCCCATAAGTCAGGTGTTGACTTAACTGCGTTGGCCTTGGACGGCACAACTAAATGTGGGCACCCGCCTGGCCCTCTGGCTCTGCGGGGACCCTGCACTGCTGCTCTGGAACACAGAGAAAGCTGGCAGTAACGGTGCCACCAGCTTGTGCCCGCAGTGGCCTGGGTTTCAGAGTCACACACACAACCAAGGAGACGAATAAAGACCAAGCCACAGCCCGACACCAGGGCTGTCCACCCCCGGGGCCCGTGCTGCCCACTGATGCCACAGGCCCCTTCTCAAGGCTGCCCCAAGCGCCCGGAAGCCGGTTACAGTCACTCCAAACCACGAGGAGGGCACGAGTGATCCGTTGTGGCGCAGGTCGCTGTGCCAGCCCCACACGCACACAGCCCTGGGGGTAGGAGTTACTGAGACAGTCACATGGACAAGACCGGACAAGGGGAAGGGTGATGGAAGTCCTGCTCTCGGGGTTTCAGAGACAGACAATGAACAAAGGAACAGACAGGCAGGGACAGTGGGCGAAGAGCTGTCCAGGGAAGGGAGCTGGGGGAGGGGAGGGCAAGGGCCCTGTGGGTCACTGAGGCCTCTTTGAAAAGGATGACACTTGTGTAAGACCTGGATGAAGGCAAGGAACCACATGGCTGCCTGTGGAGGGGACATCCTGGAGAAAGAACAGCAGATGTCAAGGCCCTGGGTGTCCAATCCTGTAGTCATTCTTACACTCATTTGAGTTTGAAAACTTTGTCAGACTAGAGAAAGGAACACAGTGAACAATCTAGGCAAATATGTGGGCATTCCAACCATGCTCTCCTTAGGAAAACTATGCAGTTTCTAAGCCAAGTGTCAAATCAGCAAACAGATCATTGCTATGTGTTCCTGTTTGCAGTTTTCACTTCACTTTGTTTTAAGATTAAATCTCTGAACATTAATACATGTTAATAAGTCTTTGCTGTAGGATTATATGAACTAGTGTGGTCTTGTTTGGAGTCAGGCAGAAAGTCAGAGAACATATAACCTTTTTTGGGGTACATATCATAAGCTTTAAAAATGTTAACAGTCTTTAATTTGATAATTGTACTTTTGAGAATAAGATCCTATGGAAATGTCCATTTTGCAGACAGAAATTCATGTTTTATTTATAACAGAAAATAGTTGGAAACACTCTAAATGCCCAGTATAAAGGAAATAGTTTAGTTAATTATGGTACATCCAAATGGTGGAATACTATGTAGCACTGAAAATGCTGTTGACTAAAAACATTTTCAGTGACAGGAAAAAATTAAGGTCAAAGAAACATTTGTACATCTGGCAGAATCTTCTTCAAAGCAAATTTATTACACTCAGATAGTAACAGTGCTACCTCTGGATGGTGGGGTTTTGTGGAGGAAAATTCACTCTTGTGGTTGGGCCCTTCCATATTTTCTGCATAGATAAATTTTATCATCAGAGAGAAAAAAGGTTATTTTTAAAATGTCTGGCAGACACACTTTGGAGAAATTTAATTTATTCTAACTCCATCATGGGATATGAAATATGAAGAATGTTTAGTTTTAATGTTTCCTTACTATTTTGGCTAACTTCACCATGATCTTCAAGAGAGAACAGCATTAAGTGAACGTTTTCTGCACACATATTTTCTAATAAGGGCAGGCACAGACCAAAAAGTAAGAGTGGATGGACCCCGGGCACATGGACCACTAAGGGACCCATCAGAAATTACACATATAAAGCACATATTGAGGGCACTGAAATGCAGGCGCTTGAGGGCTGGTGTTTTAGTGCCAAGTTCTAGTGCCAGCATCAGTTCAGCTACGCCTGGCACACAGCAGAGGCTGCACACACTTACGCTGAAAAGCAATGAAAAGACTGAATTGTCAGCCCCTTTTGACAATTCAGGGTCATTCCTCAAGTTCAGCACCAAACTGTTGTTAATGGAAGAGGCTAATTATTTCGAAAGGCTTAGAGGATATCAGGGAGCATGGGGTTGGCCAACTTTTCCTGTAAAGGGGCCAGACAATAAATGTTTCAGCTTGGGGGGGGGTGTCACATGATCTCCGTTACAACCGCACCCAGCTCTGCAAGTATCCTGAAGAAACAGCCACAGATACAGATCAACAAACGTGTGTGGCTGTGTGCCAATAAAACTTTATTCACACAAACAGACGGCAGGCTGGATGCAGCCTGTCAGCCCTAGTTTGCCAGCTCCTGATCTAGATTATTCGTTATCCCCCAAAGCACGCTATAGTAGCATGCCTTTCTTTTAAGAAGTTGTTTTGTCTTCCATTTGATTTTTTTTTTAAGTTGAAGTATAGTCAGTTACAATGTGTCAGTTTCTGGTGTATAGCACAATGTTTCAGTCATACTTGTACACACATAGATTCGTTTTCCTATTATTTTTCATTATAGGTTACTACTACAAGACATTAGTATGGTTCCCTGTGCTATACAGAAGACATCGGATTTTGAGAAGTTGTCTTCTTCTTACACTGTCCAGCCTACAGAAGACTCATCAGCATCTCAGCGCGTCCTCTATGGTGCACTGATCTACTTGCTGCTTCCCTCACGGGCAAACATCCTGGATACGTAGGTGCCATTTGCAGACAGATGTGAGGCAGCTGGAGTTACACTGCCTGGGGTCAGACACGACTTCAACCTGGGGCAAGTTATTTAACTGCTCTGCACCTCAGTTTCCTCAGCTGAAAAGTGGGGGAAATACAGTTCCACACCTCATGGGGTTCATATTGAGGATGAAAAGAGGTCATGCTGTCAACCATGTAGAACAAAACCCTGGAAGACAGCAGGTGCACAACAAAAATAGCTGCTAGTATTCTAGTTATCCAATCACTTGCTACCTTTAGTCAATCTATGAGCTGCTGTTAGAAAATGTAAGAATTTTTTTCCCTAGAAAATGTTCCTATAGACTTACTCTTACCGACTATCCCAAACTTCCTCATCTGAAGTCCAACAAGCTCCATGAAGACAGGCAAGTCTTGGGTATGACTTGGCTACGATGGTCAGGGGAAGAGAGGGGCCTTCACATTTCTAAAAAAACCCAGAGTTCTTCTGGGTTCTAGCCCAGGACTGTCCAACAGAACTTCTACAGTGACAAATATTCTCTATCGATGCTTCCAACACAGTAGCCGCAGGTGGCTATAGACCTGAAATGTGAGTCAAGATCTTCAACATGTGACGAGGTCACATCCTGATAAACCCATCTTAAGTTGAAAATACCGATGTCAAAAATGCATCCAATACACCTAACCTACCTCACATCCTGCCCTACTTTAAACACGCTCAGAACACATACATGAGCCTACAGCTGGGCAAAATCATCTGACACAAAGCCTATTTCGTAATGACATGCTGACTGTCTCCTGTAATTTAGTGAATACTGTCCTGAGAGTGGAAGACAATGCGGTCTGGGGCCAGCACGGTTACAAGTGTATGTGTCGTCCACCCTCGTGACTGCGTGGGTGCCTGGGAACCGCAGCAGCCACTACCTGGTATCACTGGACAAAATCATCCTGCATATCAGCAGCTTGGGAGAAGATCAAGATCCAAAACACGAAGCATGGTATCTGCTGAACACGACTGCTTTTGTACCATCGTAAAGTGAAAAAAATCCAAATTGACCCATCATAAGTCAAGGACTGTCAGTTCTTTTTAGTTTGTCTAAAGAGCTGAACTTGTATTTAACATTAATTAATTTAAATTTAATTGGCCACCTGTGAACAGTAGCTACCCTTGCAGAAAGCGCAGTTCTAGATAATGTGAGAAAAAGTAATTCTTAGTTCATACTCCCTGGGCTCCTCAAACTAAACCTCAAAGAGCAAAAACCCCAGAGATGAACCGTAAGCAGCTCTCAGAGTTA